TACAGGTTTTTACTTGGGAACCTAATAATTTATAAATTTTGAAAAAAAAAAGGAGTTCCTTACAGAAGTTTTAACTTGTCCAAGTAAAGTTAAGGATATTAACATTAGATACAAAGGTAAAGGGTTAGTGGGTAATTTTAAAGTTAATTAAACAAAATTAATACATGTAAATCTTAAAATGATTAAAAAAGTTGGATATTATTATTCGTAAAGCTGATAAAGGCGGTCAGTTAGTGAACCAAAAATCAATACGATTATATGAAGGTATATATTAAACGGTCAATAAAAACCCTCTTAAAATTGTCAGGAATTGATAAAATAAAAGAGTTAGATTGTACAAGTCTAACTCCGCAACAGAAAAAATATTTAGTTCCAAGTAGTTTTCTCAGCCTCCCTGCGATTTTAAGCTTTGCCAAAGGTACGTAAAAATAGGACTCACTAGCGTAAAACTAAAAGCCCGTCAAAAATGACGGGAACCAAAACTATTTCATATAAACTGGCAATATACAACAGAAATATAAAATTTCCTTTGCCAGGAACATGTTACATCTTGATCCTGCATCCACTACATATAGCTGAGCAAACGTGTTACATATTGGTGCCTTTGGATAAAAGATTAAAACATACGATGACCATGTGATTGCATACACACTTGTTCTTCTTCTGAAGAAAAAGTCGTCATCTTCCGTACAGATAATTATAATTGGTATCTTCAATCTGTTTTAACAAAGGTTTTTTTCGTAATAATTCCTAGGCATAGACTTGCGCTAATATTCAACTTTCACTATACGGATACTACCTAGCTTGACGTCATGATGATGTGGTGTCACATACATAACGACATGCCTTATCTAGTCCTGCGAACCCCCTCTCCTTGACAGGCTTTTATATAGCAGAAAAAGTGCCAAAACTTAGGAGCTATTTACACCTATGTTAGCGATTAAATTCAACTAAAATGTAAATGGGCAATCAAAACAGGAAGTACTACAGGAGAAAAAAACGGAATTGGACTCGTGTAACTCACGAAATTCGGAGAAATCGAGCGTGACCGACCGACCGACACTTGGTTTTCATATATATATTGATAGTCAAATATTGGTTCATCTTAATTTAATTTAGCTGAATTTATAACACATATATTTTTTTTTCTTAGTTACAATAACTCGAATAGTTAAAAATTCTATACAATTTCTCAGAAAAATAAGTAATATAACTAAATAATGAGGATATATATCCTGGATTCTTTTGACACTGTGTCATTATTTACTAAAGTCCAGGCCCGGCATGGCCAGGTGGTAAGGGCGCTCGACTCGCAATCTGAGGGTCGCGGATTCGAATCCCCGTCCCACCAAACATGCTCGCCCTTTCAGCCGTGGGGGCGTTATAAAGTGACGGTCAATCCCACTATTCGTTGGTAAATGAGTATCCCAAGAGTTGGCGGTGGGTGGTGATGACTAGCTGCCTTCCCTCTAGTCTTACACTGCTAAATTAGGGACGGCTAGCGCAGATAGCCCTCGTGTAGCTTTGCGCGAAATTCAAAACAAAGACTAAAGTCCAACTGAAAAAGCTATAACTTGTTTGCGATAAATTGATCTCAGTCATTGAAATTCGAGACTTCCCCGAAATATGAATTACTTGTGTAGATGACAATTTCGTTGGGGTGACGCTATGATAAAGACTTTACGGATTTCATTTATCCTAACTGTTTAGGACCCACTATTATATTTACTTATGAGATTTGGAGAAAAGAACAGTGTAACGTATTGATTAAGGAAAATAAAAAATAAATTACCGACCACTACTTATCACAAATCCTTTTCTGTTATCATGCCGCCACACCAAGAATCGTGTTATTCAAATCCACAATATTTCAGCTTGTTATCATGTTTATAGATCCTTATTTATGTTCTCAACAAAAAAGATTTAAAAAAAACTGAATTGTTATTGATGGCATCGTTAAAAAAATTTAGTAAAATTACAAATGTTTATCAAAAAGTAAGATAAAAAAATCAACGTTCGATAAAATAAATAGCACGGAATTGTTATTTTTGCTATTTGTTCCAGGTTTACCGTGTCAATTCTTTGAGATTTTTTTTTCAATTCGTAAACCTCTGAATAAAAAAATTAATCTATTATTAAATAAAACTAAAGAACTAATAAATATAATGGAAGATACGTGTAGTCACAGAATTGAATGGGAATGCGGTTGTGCATACATTAATCTAACTAAAAGAAACGTACAATGTTGAATAAACAACATAAATATTAAAAGATAAATAATATTGAAAACTGTCCATTGGGAAAACATGCGTGTTATACCGATCATATCATTCAGAGGGAAAAACCGTTATTTTGGATCAACCGAATGATATGACGATTAGAAGTATTAAAAAATAATTAAACACGGTAAAAACAAAAATAATTATGATATCTTGAATAAGGATGAAAGATTGACAGGTGAGAAAGTATACAGATGGCGTGACTTTCTTTAGGTTCTGCTGTACGTAAATTATGTAGCAATACAGGTCACTTGACTACTTGTTCCGGTATATAAAGTTCGTAACTGTGTTTTGATTTTATACACCAGAGAATGACGTGATTAATGCCGAAAGACGTAATGTTTGTTTCGAGGCCATTGACGGTCTCAGAATAACGTTTTAAATCGCATACTTAAAAGCATTGATCGTTTGAGTATTACGTAATGTTTGTTTCGAGGCCATTAACGGTCTCAGAATAACGTTTTAAATTGTATACTTAAAAACATTGATCGTTTGAGTATTTTAATGCGTTCTTTACACAAATAACTTGAATGTTTAATCTTCGTTAACACTTATTTAGGTCTGGATAATCGAAACTATTGTCATCTAAGTAAGAACAGTATAACGTGAAACAACTAATTCCATAATTTTAGATCACGGTTAAGCGAGACAGACTTAAAATCCGTAAGAGTTGACATGTCTAGAGCCTCCGTTCAACCTTAAGTTAGTTGGGTTTTGATGATTCGACCTAAACCCCGATTAATCTCTTGTGACTTGTCTGAAAAATCTATGACACACACAATGTTGACAACCGCTCGTTCCTTGGCTAGCAAGGATTTTTTTTATACATACACGACTCACCCCTTGTCTCACTGCTAATTTACAAAACAAACCAGGTTAATTACAGATCTTAATCTCATAACTAATTGTTCTTATTAACCTTAAACTAAACTTCAGTGTACTTGTGGGAGCTATCGTTAGTTTTATGTAACAAAATAGTCTGATAAATAAGCTGTAAAAAGTTAGCAAGCATTCTTTCTTTACGATAATATTTTTTACGTGGAGGCAGGGACTCGATTTAATAACTTCCTAGAAAGGCTTAACATTTAACGTTAGTTCAAGTATCTCATATTCATTGATACAAAATAAAATTGTATACTGTGACAGTATACCTTACACTTTCAATTATTCTTGCTTTACTTTTATTAACCCAAAAACGTTTCCATAAAATTGAGGAAAAGCCATTATTAATACATTTTACCTCAATTCATGACTCAAACAACCCTTTATTAGCGTTATTGTACTATTATCTGTTTAATGTTCCTAAGACTAAGAGTAGTGGTAATGGCTCGTATGTTACTGATACAGTGGTAAGTTGAAGAAAACGGTCGTACTATCTTTGTTTGTGGCATGCCGAGATCAAGCACTTACCGGAAAATCTACTTACTAGACATTTTAGTTCCAGGAGGACCCGTTGTAATTCATGACATGGCGTCAAAGATCTAACAACCTCTCGATATTTAAGAATAAAAAACGAAAACACTCACATTTTACGGCTCGTTTATCAAAGTTTGATGTCGTGACAAGAGTATCGTTAGTGTTAGACTGTTACATTCTGGTCCTCGTTGCTTTGTCACACGCGACGAGACGTTCACTGATAAAGAAGTGACGTCATTCAGAAATTGTGACAAGCATACGACACAGCTTTTTAAACGTAATCTTGTTCGAGATATTAAAATTTTATAATTTTTGAAGCACAGTAACTCATTTTTAACATGGAGTAAGACTAAACACATGGAAAGGTTACATTACTTGTTAGGCTTATGTTACATTTTTTATTTGACTCAGCGGTAAGCCTGAGGACTCACACCGCTAAAAACCGGATTTCGATACTCGTGATGACACATATAGCCAACTGTGGCGAGTGGCGCTTAACAACAAATAAACATGTAGTATCTTAGTTTTATCTGTTGCCGCAAGTTGGTCACTCTCCTAACAGGTACTCACAAATAAATATTGGAGGGGGGTGTTACTTCAGGAAATGACGGTATAAGACAATTAAAATGTTTGATGGAAATGCTAAAACAATTCAGTCTTACCCCCTGGGAGCAGATTTCACTTTAATTACTCTGATTATCACGAAATTATTTTAATAGGATTTTATCCGTCGCTCTTATATTACAACCACGGCTCAAAAGGATTGAGCGCGTTTTTGCATCAACGGGGCACGAACCGTTGACCTTCAAATTTACAGTCCAGCACGATATCACTATGCTACGTAGTAAAAATCAAAATTAAACGTTTTTTATTTTATTTGTTCTGTTAAAAACATTCAATTGTTATCCACAAAGTTACTGAATAGAAGAAAAAAAAAGTTTGAATGTTAGTTTAATAATGATATTAACTTCTGCGCTTGTAAACAGTGGCTTGGGTCAGTTACATTTCTATATAGAGAGAGAGTGAGATTTGGATTTGGATCAATCGTACACATCTAGATAAAGAAAGAGAGAGTTGGATTAGTCACAGTCCTATGTAAAGAAAGGGAACTAGTTCAAACAAACATGTAAACAAATGAGATAACGAAGAAGTGAGTAGCATCAGTTAAACAATTAGACAAATAGGAAATGGGCTGGGTCACTAAATTATCTAGACAAAGATCAAATTTATTGGATCAATAAAATTTCTAGCGAAAAAAAAAAAAAAGAAGTGGGTGGTTGTTTGAAGTTAAGCACAAAGCTACACGATTGGCTATATGTGCTCTGCCCACCACGGGAATCAAAACCCGGTTTTTAGCATTGTAACTCCGCTACGCCATTGGGATGTAAATAGTAAGTGACCCGGATCGATAGTATAAGTACAAGTAAGAAGTGTGCCGGATTAGTCAGAAAGAGTGAAATAAATTAATTTAAGAAAAGATGCTGATGAGAGAGTTTGATACGATATTCACTGTACAACTCATAATAACATTAAATCACGTTCAAACCAACTTCCAAAATGTTCAGCAAGAGGGTGTATTACGCACCTCCTCAGAAACGTCAATCAAACACGAATGGTGGGGCCTGAAACATTGGTAAAGTTATAGTCACTACAGGTAGACGCTAGTCAAATGAATCTTCGAAACATTTACTCGGTAAAAGACGAGAAATGATTGTTATCAACCTTATAAATTTTCAAAAAAAAAAAAAGGTCAGAAAGAACTATATGTATTTACAGACAACAGGGCTACAAAAAGTCAAACCGTTGTTTCGTAAGTTTGAAATAACGGAATGTAAAAGACACGTGTAGGATTCTATGTGGTATAAGCTGGGATTTAAAGTCACTTGCGGACTCATTTAATTCTCAGGAAAGAGTCCAGATGCTAAATAATATTACATGCATTCTTCCTCACCTACCTATGTATCGATTTTGGCGGTACTCTAACGGTACTAACGTACTCTGACAGAAACGGAGCATACTAGTAATCGGATCAGAACCGCTGTACCTGTGGAACAAACCGTTTTTTTTTAATGTAATTATTTTCTCCAGCCGTTTAACGCCACAGCTATCTTTACGTATAGCCTCCGATGACTCAGCAATAAGCTTGAGGAGTAATAACGCTCAATTTCGGTGTTTGATCGTTGTTGAAGTGCATGAGAATATTGCAGGTAGCCAAACAAACAGATTTTTACATGAGTAAAACCAAAACGTAGAAAGATTTTAAATATTTGTTCCACTCTCATCAACTATGCTTTTAGGCACTTTGGTAAATATAAGAGTAATAATTAGAAATGAAACAACTGTATAGTCACTTTTTCCCACCCTGTATACAATGGAACAGATGTGTTCTTTTGAGAATTACGGGCTCTATTATTAAACAGTATTCAAATACTTATCATTTTAAAGTAAGGATACGTTCATAATGTTATTTCCTTAATTCAAAAAGAAGTCATTTCATCCAAGATGATAGATCTGTCTAAAATAAATTACAAATGAGACTATATTTAAGTTAGATTATAATTTTGTATTGCAATGTATGATTTATTTTATCTTGTAAGTAAGATTATCATTATGAGATTGTTGTTTTAGAATTTTAATACCTTAGATCTTATTTTTATTACAATAAGAGTGTGTACTATTTCGTTTTTGTGAACAAGACTCCGAGCTTGTAACAACTTGGATAAAAGAATAAATAAAATATTTTTCTATCAGTCCACCGGATGCAGAGGCATCTAAATAAAGCAGTGACATCCTATAAAAGTCAGTATTATTGAAGATAAAAAAGAACAAAACAGCAACCTTCTTCTGAAGACCATAACATCAGTACAAGAAATATTGAACAGAGAAGGTGGTAACTACCAATGGTATCCTAGGTGAGAAAGGCGCCGGAAATCTAGAAAGAGTCCCCGTTTTACTGCATCAGAGCGGGAAATAAAACACATACAGACTAGTTATTATTTTTGTTGTTGCTGTTAATGTTCTTGACGGGAAAGGGGAAACTTCAATTCATTCTTGCCATTCCCCTCTTATTTCATACGCCCAAAGTAATTTTCTTACCCTCGCGTACTTATACTGAAACAGTTAAATGATGTTTTCTAACAACTAAAGATTTAGTCAGCAGAGCTAAAAACATCGTCTCACAAAGAGAAAAAGAAAATCAATGTGACATCCAAAACATGACTTTATATCGGTCTAATAAAGATAATAATAACTTATCATTAATTGTTTTTAAGACTGAGCATTGCTAGTACTTAGTGTATAGGGCTGTAACCCCGAGAATTTATAGTTCGCGTACCATTACTGCAAGATTGCGCTCCAAGCTATAGACATATTATAAGGGTGACGGTCAATTCACACTGCTCGATTTGGTTAGTTTAAAAATTGGTGGTGGGTGCTATTGATCGACTATTTTACTTCTAGTCTATCAGTACGGAAATAGGAATGGCTTGGGCAGATAGTCCTGAAATTAGGAACAGCTTGGGCAAATAGTTTTGCACGAATAAGCGAAACAAAACAAACAAACAAAAAAAATTAATATAATGAACGTTTACCATTTTTCCCCAATTAAAATTAGACATAAAAAATTTACTTAAGGACGCATTATATCTTATTTGCACATGAAACGTCATATTCTCTGTAAATTACACATGAAACGTCATATCGTCTGTAAATTACATTCGACGAATAGTTAGTTACAGAATTTAAATATAATTTTCCGTCACTAACTAAAATCTCTTTTAAACAATTATATTAAATATCTCACAATCTAGAGGGCTCTTTAGTGGCTTTTACTAGATGATGCTATTGAGTCACAAAGCTGGCTCAAGAGAAAGAAAAAGTAATTGCATTAATCTAATATATATATATATATATATATGTGTGTGTGTGTATAATACTGGTATAGATGGTGTTGTTTAGGACCAAATTCACTTTAGGCCTAATTAATGAAAAACAAATTTTGTTGTTAGCCTTCGATTATTGTGCAGCATCTGATTGAATAAACCTCAGTAATGTAGCAAAATCAACACATTTTAGTATAAAAGACGTAAGAGGGGCTAAGGATAGGCTTAAACCTTAAAAAAAAAAGACGAAAAAATTAATAAATATTGAGATAAGTAAATAATATAAGAATAAAAGGGGTATTAGTTTAGTTAATTATTACTTTTGGTTTTATTTTACAATCTACGTATCTAATTTTTGTTCGATTTTGAATATTAGGCTTGATGTAATCAAAAGTTATGGACGACGAGGAGATTGCTCTTGGTTCTTATGAAACTTTAATTTTGAAATTTAATTAATTAAGTGCTTTTAGTGCATAGACACTTGACTTATCGAAGTTTATTTATACACTAGTACTTTTTTTCAAAGCTCTTAACCTTGAAATGCTATAAATTACTTTAATGGGCTAAGATATTCATTTGAATAATAATTTTGTCGCAAGCGATTCTTTAAAAAATTATAAATTTTTCTTAAAAAATGTAACTGTTCCCATTAACAGAATTAAACTTATTGATTATTCATCATTATAACTTCACAATTTCACAAATAAAAAATCTCTGCAACTACTTTAATTACAGTTAATGAAACAACTTAGTTTTTTTCTTGAATTTATTACAATGTTCTGTAATTTTTCAATTCTTACTGTCCATGCTACTAGATAAAACTATGCAAGAGAGCTTGGTAACCAGCGTTCAAAAAATACTGTTTTGTTATTGGTTGATTTAACTGGCCGCCATCTTTACTCCACTTTTGCATACTTGATAAAATTCGATAGTACTACTGGATCTACAATCTTTAACAAAAAAAAAATATATTAAAAACACCTTCTACGTTGCAGAAATCCTAATAAAAAAAAGGAAAAACAACTATAAAATTTCCTTCTGACAAAGAGAGGAGAAATATTTCGGAAATTAAAGTTAAACGAAAAATCTTGAGTTAAAACTGGAACCAAATTTAACGTAAAAGAGATTGATACCTAACTGTTTTGACAAGATGAAAGTTTCATAATCACCTATTTTTTCAGTTAAGCAGTAAATGCGGGAATAAACTATCTCGTTAATGAGTGATAGTTTGGTGTAAGTTCGAAAACAACTGCATGATTTTGTTATTATATAAATATTTTACAGATTTCTTTTCTTTCTCACCAAAGACAAAATTGAAAAGAGAATATGTGACGTTGAGGCCTATCGCATTCTG